ATAACGCAAACAGATGGTTCAATCTATTCAAGATGGTACTGCTTCAAATAAGGCACATGTTATAGAAAAGAATCACTTTTAAATAGAGCTTAAAATGATTAAATATGCCTCCTGAAACTTTAAAGATCTGACTCTCAAGGTCTTTATATCAATTTATTCATGATGAAAAACACCTCTAAGAACAGAGATCCTGCCCCTGTGATATTGCTAGGTTGAATTTATAATTTTGGCTCCCCATTCATTCAGTTCAGTTATTTTATATTAGCAATAAATGTAATGATAAATACCCCACAAAAGTTAAAGCACTACAAAAGATTGCAGTGTACTGAAGAATAATGTTCATGAAAAACCCTCACTCATGTCGTCCTAGCTATATAATCTTTAAAGAAACTCTGTTCTTCATGAGAGTATATTCTCTATAAAGGCAGTATAAGAAAAAACCAAAGTATTCCCAGGTTTGGTTTGGTTTGGTTTGGTTTTTGACTTTATCCCCATTCCAGCCCCTCGAATCTTTTTCTGAAATAATTAATTTGACTTTTTTTTCCATGAACAGAGGTATCAGAACTTAGATTCCAGTTAGGTCAACTATATGATTTTGAAGTAACTGGCTCCTTTCAGACTCATGTTTGTTTGCTTGGTTGGTTGGTTGTATTCTGCCTTTATTATTTTTACAAATTTTTACAAAAGCAGCAAACATATCCAATACAGCTTCCTACTACTACTTTCATTTGCATGTTGAGAGAAAAAGATGACATTTATCTAGTTTGGGACACACTTCCAGGTATATCATGGAGTTTATTCCAGTCCCATTTATGCCAATTCCCACTAAGGGCAACAGAATTATCAACCTTATTGTATCTAGGTACAATAGGTATCCACATACTTTTGGTTATCATCTGATATGTAGCCAAATAAAAGTAGTGCCAATGTCAGGAATTTGCCCAGGCTGCTAAAAAGCAACTAAGTCTTTGTAACAAGTCTCTCTCAGCCCAGTCTCTCTCAAATCTTAAGAAAACCAGGATGCTAAATATTACATGAAGCAAGTAACTATAATGTATCTCAGACACAAAATCGAGTGGGAGATCAGACAGATTCCTAACCAGCCTAGCTGACAATTTTGTCACCCAAAAGATGGAGGAGGGAACTAGATATAAAGCTATACTGGAGTTAATTCTTACTACTAGGGAAGAAGTGATAAAGGGAGTTGAAGTTGCCACTTGGGCAAAAGTGACCACATCATACTGGAATTAATATAGTGCAAAACATTAGCAATAGAAAACAACCCAACCTGTGTCTTGAACTTCAAAAGAGCTGACTTTAACAAACTCAGAGAACCTAGGAAAGATCCCATGGATGAAAATCGTAAAGGGGAAAACAACCCAAGAAGCATGGGAAACTCTGAAAAATGTGATCATAAAAGCCCAGACCAACACAATACCACTAAAAAAGAAAAAGAAGAAATTCAAGAAGAAACCAACATGGCTGCACAAAGATCTCTCTGACAAACTGAAAGATAAAAAGGACAAATACAAAAAATGGAAAGAGGGTCATATAACTAAAGCTGATTATCAGCAGACAGCCAAAACATGCAAAGATAAAGTCGGAAAGCAAAGGCTCAGAAGAAACAAAGATTTGCAACAAAAATCAAAGATCATAAAGTCTCTTACAACATATTAACAAGAAAAAAATCAAGGAAACTGTAGGTCCACCAAAGAGAGAAGATGGCAAGAAAATAACAGCAAACAAGGAGAACTGCTTAACTCATACTTTGCATCAGTCTTCACACAAAAAGAAACTATAGCCCAACATACCCAAAAAACCACTAAAAAGACAAACCAGAAACAAAAAATAAGCAAGAAAATGGTAAGAGAAAACCTATTCGACCTTGATGAATATACATCACCAGGACCTGACAGATTACATCCCAGAGTTCTGAAGGAGCTGGCAGATATTACCTCAGAACCATTGCACCACATCTTTCATAAAACTTGGAGCACCAGGGAAGTACTTGAAGATTAGAAAAGGGCTGATGTGGTTCCCATCTTCAAGAAAGAGGAAAACAATGGACCCAGGAAACTACAGACCAATCAGTTTAACATCAATACTTGGGAAGATCCTAGGAAAGATAATAAAAAAATAGATCTGCGGACAACTAGAAGCAAACAAAGTCATAACCAGTAGCCAACATGGGTTTGTTAAAAACAGATCATACCAAACCAATCTTATTTCATTCTTGGATAAAGTGACTAAACTAGCGGACCAGCGAAATGCTGTGGGTGTAGTGTACTTAGATTTCAGTAAGGCATTTGATAAAGTAGACCACAACCAACACCTTGGTAAGCTAGAAAAAAAGTGGAATAGACAACATCACCATCAGATGGATCTGTAGCTGGCTGGCAAACCGTACTCAATGAGTAGTCCTCAATGGCACTACATCCACATGGAGAGAAGTAAGCAGTGGGGTACCAAAAGGTTCCATCTTAGGCTCAGTACTCTTCAATATCTTCATAAATCACTTAGATGAGGGAATTTAAGGGGAACTCATCAAATTTGCAGATGACACCAAACTGACAGGAGTAGCCAACACCCCAGAAGACAAATTCAAGATTCAAAAAGATCTTGACAAACTTGAACAATTGACCCTATCCAACAAAATGAGTTTCAATATGGAGAAAAGCAAAGTTTTACATTTAGGCAGGAAAAATCAAAGGTACAAGTACAGATTGGGTGAGACCTGGCTTAAAAACAGTAATTGTGAGAGGGACCTTGGAATCCTAGTGGACAATCACTTGACTATGAGCCAGCAGTGTGCAACAGCAGCCAAAAAAACTAATACAATCCTAGGTTGTATAAACTGAGGCATAGAATCAAGATCACGTGAAATATTAGTACCGCTTTATAAAACCCTAGTAAGACCACACCTGGAATACTGCAGCCAATTTTGGTCACCATATCACAAAAAAATGTTGAGAGTTTGGGAAAAATTCAGAGAAGAGCAACTAAGATGATCAAAGGCCTGGAGACTAAAACATGTGAAGGACTTGGTTATGGGTAGTTTAAAGAAAAGAAGAAATAGGGGTGACATGATAGCAATATTCCAGTATTTGAGGGTCTGCCACAAAGAAGAGGGGTCACATTATTCACCAAAGCACCAGAAGGCAGGACAAGAAACAATGGTTGGAAATTGATCAAAGTGAGAAGCAACCTGGAATTAAGGAGAAACTTCCTGACAGTGAGGACAATTAACCAGTGGAACAGCTTGCCTCCAGAAATTGTGGGCGCTCCATCACTGGAGATGTTTAAGAAGAGGCTAGACAGTCACTTGTCTGAGATAGTATAGGTTCTTCTGCTTGAACAGGAGGCTGGACTAAACAACCTCCAAGGTCCCTTCCATCTCTATGCTATTCTATTAAGCATTTGCATATACATGACATTTAGAAAACAGTGTCTTATAGCACAGTTGAGGAATGTTGAAATATAGTTCAGTGATTAAAAACTCTCATATACACTTGCTTATTCGTCATTGAATATCCTATACTATACTGCCATTCAGAAGGGATGATTCAGACAATTGTTAAGTGCAAATAGAGCATACATATCTCTTCCCATTTTAAATAGGAAAATTACTGATGTGAGAAAAGTCAGTGAGATACTTGGAACTGAATTCTAGACCAGTGGTTCCCAACCTTTTCTATACCCCACACCCCTAGAACACTTCTAATATATTCTTGCACCCCTTACAAAATTTCAGAATGAATTATGCATATACACTATAATTTTGAAACTTCTAAACCCAAGTTTTTGCACCCCCTGGAATATCATCTCACACCCCCAGGGAGTATGAGCATCCCTGGTTGGGAAGCCCTGTTCTAGATATTCAATTCTAGTTTTACTAGTTTTACTAGATTATTAAATACAAATTTCTTTTTAAAAGTGCCCACCAAATTTGTGAGCCAAGAAACTGAGCGACGGAAAATTTTCCAAAAATGTCTCAAAGGCATGATTCCTCAATTAATGATGATAGTAGCATGACTGTTGGGACAACTCCCTCATGATCTCTTTATTTGGGATTTAATAATAGTATGAAAAGCCAAGGAAGTTCCTGACCACTGAACAAACAGAGGTGTGGTATTGAAAAACCAAACACTAACATGGAACCCATTTGAGGATCCAATCTGAGTTGGTCACCAGAACTTACTCTTCCAAACTTTTGGACTTGTGCTGGAGCCCATCCTCAGGGAACTTCTCTCATTATGCTGGGATACATATATTTGCCTTCATTCATGAACCCAATTGAATCACTGAAAGGAAGCAGTCCTGTTTCCATATTCCATGTATAGCAGCTGACTGGATGATAAGTTGAAACTTGCTTTATGTTCAGGATAAGGAGGATAAAATCTTCAAATGCAGTTGATTGCAGCAAACTGGCTTAAGCCATTTAAAGCAGGCTTCTTAATATGTACAGCTTTGTTTTTCAGGACTTCACTGCCATTTCCTTCCTAGTATTAAAACCACTGCTGTTGTCATGTAAATTACATAAATTCAAACTTGAGTCAGAGATTTAGCTAAAGGGAACATGATCATTTATCACATTTGTAACTACTGATATGTTATAAATCATGAAATCATGTGATTGGAAGGAGTCCATTATGCCATCGGCTTGGTGCACAAAACAAAATTAGAACAACCCTGAAAAAAATCGGTTATACTTCAGCTCTTTGTATAGTTGATTCCCTTTCCTTTAGTTTAGTCTGATACTGTATCACATACACATGTGTAAGACATCATAATGGTATTATAGCATTTTTCTTTACAACAATAATTAAATGGTTGAATCCTGAAAATAAAGAATAAATAAATCACAAGATCCATCCGTACATTTATACCTTCAGTTTAATATGTAAACAGCAGAAGGCTCACCTAACTGCATAATTTTCACCCACGCTTAATCAACACACACATGTAACTACTGTTCTACTTTGTCTTTTTTCTTCTCCCAGATAGCCTGTGCTGTGTTTGCTGCTCTCCTACATTTCTTCTTCCTCTCTGCTTTCACTTGGATGTTTTTGGAAGGAGTACAGCTCTACATAATGTTGGTGGAAGTCTTCGAGAGCGAACATTCACGTAGAAAATACTTCTATTTGGTTGGCTATGGCATGCCTGCTGTAATTGTAGCTGTTTCGGCAGTAGTAGACTACAAAAGTTATGGCACTGGAAAAGTGTGAGTTTCATTTTGTGTCCAATTTGTGGTTTGGGAGGGGAATCTGAAAAACTAGTAGGAGTAAATATGGACTAACAGAAACAACTGTAAATAAATAGACACAATAGGCATTCTAGTAAAGGTAAGTTTATAGACTGTGTGGAAGAGCCATTTTCCATTTTAGAGGAATCAAAATGTGCCCAAGATTAAGAGAGCCTGGAACATACAAATATCAAAAATATGAACTAACTACAAATTGTGCCAAGGGAGTAGTGCGGTACCATCGCTACACTAGTTTTATTTTTTTTAATCAACAGACCTTTGTATTAATTTCCAAAATATGGTGAATAATTGAAAGCAAATTTTATCACTTGTCATTAGTCATTTATTAGAACATTTTGACATCTGTGAATTACATTACACAAAACCACCAATATGTTAAATAGGGTAGAAATTTTATCCTGTGTGTTGAAAGCAATAAAAAGACATTTTAGTGCTATAGAAGTATGCTATCCATATACTAAGAACTGCTGTCTCCAGAACTAACATTGAACTGGGGTGCTCAGACATCATTTTGCCCACTCTTTAGAATAGACACAACAATACTGAATCTTAGCCTCCATCCTTCCTTTGGCAGTATGAATTTATCAATGAAGGATTTTTTTCTGCATGTAATGGCAGGATATTTGTAAAACAGATCTCTAGATATATTACAAATCCATCCTTTTGTTTCGGGGTAAACACGTTAATGCCCATCACATGGACACCAAAAACCTGCATTTCTTAAGTGTTTCTGATGACAAGCAATCCTTTCCTATTACAGAATATTCTTTTAAAAAAACTCTTCTTTGTTCAGGCATTTTGCACATTATTTGTTGGTAGACTGTTCATTATTTGGCTAAGAACACAGAAAAGCTTCAAAAGGCATTTCTTTACAGAGGAGCAGAAGACTGGTTACACTTTTGGCTGATATCTTGGCTCATAGACATTTCAGGGTCCCTTTCTTAAAGTTGAGAATCACAATCTTTATGGCTCAGCGAGATTTACATCTGATCCCCCCCCCCCCATGGTGTCTTTGTCAGGTATTTATTTTGTACTTTGCCAATTTTCTCTGTGAAATGGGGTTGTGGGTTTTGTTGAGAAGAAGTAACATGAACCCCATTTGTACTCTGAAATATTTAGTCTGCGCCTGTGGTGGCAAATCAAGCAAAACTAGGCTGATTCGGGGACTTTGTGAGCTAGAAAATTGTGGCATGGCTCTAATTTTAACATGTGTGAAAGAAATTTGAGAATTTAGTTAAATCACTATTTATGTAACTTTTTCAAATCAAAAATAGAAAGAGAATATTTCAGTATTATATTAGCAGAGGTGGAATATGTTGAAACATAATTGAGCTGGAGAAGAGGAGATTCAGGGTCTAGACAAGGTGGATATTGTGGACAGGTGTTTTTTTTCCCATTCTGCTAAAATGCTTTATAAACTCTTGGTCTCAAGAGTCTGCCCAATGGAGCATCCCACCTTCAGTCACGTAGAGCCCTTGTTTCATGCAGGCCCTGTTGCTTTCATTGCTTTTCTGGCTTATCTTAGGTACCTGGGAGTTTAGGAAACAGTTCAGTTTTAAAAAGTAATTAGTGTCTAGAAACTTGTGGTCATGCACAGCATCTGCAATATTTTGATTCTCATTGCCCTTAGAAACTGTCTTCTTAGACTTTACTTTCTTCAGCCTGTTTAACACATTCTCTCAGCACATCACATTCACAAGCTTCACAAGTAATGTGAAGGGGTCATTCTGTCCCAAACAGAACATGGATGAAAGATCACAGCGTAAAGCTTTGGATTAATAACTAGATTAAATAGGACTTCACAAATTCTATGTGTACACATATTTATGATTTATGACACAGTGCTCAGTGATAAACAAAGTATCCATCCAATATCTTGCTATCACTCCTATTTTAAATATCAAATATTTAAATATCAAAGATTCTTAAATTGTTATTAGTATATGTTACTACTTTGAAAGGTGAGAGATTATTTATCAAGTTAGGCAGAAACCAAATGTGTTTTTTTAGGGTATTTTGTAAGAAAAAAACTTTACTTGAATATGGTTTAGAGTTGCTTCCACATTTTTGGCCTGTCAGATAGCAGTGAGCAAGCCTTGCAATGAAAATAAATTGAAAAAAACCAAGTCAGACAATTCTATTAGTTTTATTTTTCCTACATGCTGCCCTGCATTGCCCAGCATCTCCCTTTTTCCTTCTGGAAAAGGCAGCCCCGTTTCCTGCAGCTTTTCCTCCCAGCGCAGCTCCTCCCTCTTCCCGAAAGCATTTCTTTGCTAACCTGATTTCCAGCTCTGGTACTTTCTTTTTGCTGCAAGGAAACGGAGTTTGTGGGACTAAAAAAAAGTTCAGCCAGACCTTCCAACACCTTGTGAGAACTTTTTTTTTTCGTTAAAAGTTGGAAGGTCTGACTGAACTTTTTTTAGTTCCACAAACTCCGTTAGAAAAAAGGTGCTGGAACACCATTCCGGTGCATTCTATGACAAAAAAAAGCATTGGGAATTACAACTCAGATGTTTAACAGTTAAGACCAATATTTTTACTGAATATTAATTACCGGCTATTTTCCACAGTACTAGCTGAACATTTGAAAAATTATATTTTAGAAATAATACATATGAACAAATTAGGTTATATTCCTGAGAGAAAAATGATGGACAATAGCCGATGTATAATAAATTGTTAGAGCACATCAATAATAAGAAAAAGAAGGTGGCAGTAATATTTTTAGATGCAAAAAAATGCTTATGATAAGTTGCAGTGCTCTTTTTTATTAGCCGCTTTAAATTAAATGAATGCAAGAGAATATTTTAAGACTTGGATGGAAAATATATATCACCAGCAAACAGCAAATATTACTGTTGGAATACTCTTCCCTAGTTTCCAAAAAAAACAAAGGCTCCAGACAAGGATGTATACTTTCTTCCTTCTTATTTGTAATTGTTTAGAAATTTAAGTAGACAAGATTCAACAGACAAATAAAGGAACAACTGGAGGAGACACATGAAACAATCAATATCTTCAAATTTACAAGGAAAGAAGAAAATAATAACACACTACTCTTCCTGGATATTCTCATCAGTAGAGGAGACAACTGCAATTACAAATATATCAAAAACCTAGAGTAACCAAGTGCTTCATTACCAAAGTAACAACCCAACTTCCTACAAGACGAGCTGTATTCACTACATTCAGACCTACAAATGCACTGCAACAACCCAGAACACCAGAAAAAAGAAACAGCATGCCTATACAACATCTTCCAGCAAAATGGATACCCACACAAATTTATCAAGAAGTGCCTGACCACTCAAACCTACTACACAACAAACAATACAAGCTATGAAAAGGATAACACTACACATCAACATATCAAAAACATATCAGAAACAAACCAACAGATTATTACAACCACAAGGCATCAGTAGCACACAAAGCAACTGAACCTCTCCAAAACATCCTAAGTAAATCAAAAGACCCAGTACTCCAATAAGAAAAAATGGGAGTCATCTATAACGGGTCCCCAACCCGCCAGTCCGTGGACCACTACCGGGCCATGGCATGCCAGCAACCAGTCCGCACAAACAAGGAAAGCCCCATCCACAAGATGCAGGCAGTCTCCGGTCCACGGAAAAACCTCTCTCCACGTAACTGGTCCCTGGTGCTCAAAAGGTTGGGGACCTCTGATCTTTAACATACACTGTAAGGACTGTAACAGCCACTAGATAGAACAGAGCACCTCCGTGAATGCTAACTAGCAGCCAGAAGACACAAAGAAAACTGCTTAATCTCACAACACATGGATAGACTCAACTACGAAACTGTAAGCATCCTAGATCAAGTTAAATCCCCAAATGCCAAAGAATTCCTGGAAGCTTGGCATTCAAACAAATCAGCCATCAATACACACATAGTCACGTGTTTTGTGAGATGGGTGGTTATATAAATTTATATAAATATAAATTAAAAAAAATAAATAAACCATATTTACACACCATTGAAATGAGCCAATAGAAAAGCTAAGAAACAAACAAACAAACAAACAAAAAAACAGAACACATTCTGTCCAGCAGACAACACCCAGATAAGGAGGGATTAACACCAGACAAACAATCAAGCAGAAAAGAAAACCCTAATCAAGGAACTGCTAGGGAGAAAACCACATCCCCATTAACACTGGCAGGGCAAACTATCGTATACAAACAGGGAGAAAACCCAGTTGGGTAGTGAAACATCTGCAAGCAAACGATTAGGCTCAAAAGCACCAAGGACTCAACAAATATTTGTTTAAAATATTAAAATTGATTAAAATTCAGAGAGGAATACAAATTGAAATGCTTTGCAGAATAATGTAGCATTATCATTATAAACCCACAGAGCACTCTAATACAGCTGATAAAAACACTGAATTCTCTGTATACAACATCAATGAAATGAAAACAAAGCTAATAACAAGATATTTAACACCAGAAGAATAACAGTTGGTGATAAAAGAGCCTGGTTGTGAGATAAACAACAACAACAACAACAAAAAAAGCCTGTGAAATTTGAGGACTTTATATGCAGGATGCAATAAAGACATACTCTATTTCAGAACAATTGTAAGAATGTATGAAAAGAAAAAACATATCTAGAACATGAAAGATCTTAAAATGTTATTGGGTAGGACTCATTATTATAGTAAAAATGAATATATTGCCTAATATGAACTATTTTAAATGGCATCTATTCAAATTTCAGACAAAAACCTGAAGATTGGCAGTTAATAGGAAGGTATAATAATAATTAACAAAACATTTGCAAGATTCAGAAGAGATAGACTAGCATTTCCTCATTTTAAATTTTACATACTTGTGCAAGCTGTTTATTATAGATAACAGAAATGGATAAAATCTCCAAATAGTAGAATATTAATTGTGGAAGGAGCTGGTTTGTTAAGGGGAAAAGAATTTTAAAGAGAT